GTTCAAAAAAGGAAAAAAACAGAACTTAAAAGTTTTCAGTAATATGATTCTTTTTTCAGTAAAAATTTTTTAATTTCATAAAAATTTGTACCTTAAGTTTTTTAAATTCTCGTTTTGCGCTGAGTCGACTTTATTGTTCCGACTTTCGATACAAAAGTAACGGAATATTTGTGCTCTGGGTGGGTTTTTTCTTCAGACAAATTTCGACTTTTTAATTAGCCATTTTTGACGGAATTTTTTTATATCATTCAAAAGGTATTGTTGTCCTGAGCTCAAACTTGAAAAGATATTTCACCTGTGATCATTTTTCTTAAAGTTATGGGGGTTAAAAGATTGCCATTTTGGTCAATTTGGGACAATTAACGCGCGATATATTCGTGTGGGGGAATGATTTTCACAAAAAAATTTCAATTGTTAGAAAAAAAAAATTTTCATTTTTATTTTTCTTACATTTAATTTTTTGATGTTATTACTGCTCCAAAAAACCTTAAAAGGCGGTCGGAACATTCAGGGCTTCGCCCTGATACGAGTAGTCTTGTATCAATTTCTAATCAAGTTTTAATGCACGTTGGGCTATGATAGATAAATAGCGTGAAAGATCTCATTTTATAAAGAATTTTATTAAAACTCTTGCCTCAAAACTGTTTTCTTTTTGCAGTCTAGTTGGAAAGTTTTAATTCAATGAAAACCTGGACAAGGTACCATTGAAGATAAAATTAAGGTTAATACATCCTCGTTGGGCAATAGAAACTTTACTTCCAGGGCATTAGAAACTAGAAACTAGATTCTGTGGGTTAACTAAAAATTGGAAAAGAAAATGAACAGTAGAAGGACAAATGACTCACTTATCATGCCTCCACTAGCCCTAGCGAGATATTTTGCGGTTAAATCTATTCGTTTTTTGGCCCAAATATCTGTATCAATGTATAGTCCACCATACTTGTAAACTAGAGCCAGCCGCAAAACGTCACTTAAATGTACATGGCTAAACCTAAAACAAGAAAACAAGTTTGCTTTGTATAAAGTAACTCACAAAAAAAAACATATACATATATATATATATATATATATATATATATATATATATATATATATATATATATATACTGATTTGTTCAAACATCATTTTTGAAGATTTGAATTTTCTGCCCGCATCCAATTTCAAACGGTAACAATTGATTATTATCATTTTAGTACCCGTCTTTTTGAAATTGAAAAAAAATTATTTCAACAATTACCAATCGATTAACATTTATTAATTATATTAAAAAATTATGATCAATTGAAGAACATTTAAACTGATTACATTAAATTGTCAAAAGTTCTATTTTCATAATTAGAAATCTAATCGATTACTTTTCAAATAAAATGGATTTGTTTCTTGAACAAAAAAGATTAAGTTCATAAAAATTTTATGAAATTTCTCACTTTTATTCAAGAAGTACAATCCACTTCATTTGATTATAATCAATTTTAATTGATTACAACCCTTTTTTGACCCATTTTGCATTCTACTATTTTCCTTCCTTTTGCATCCCAATTTTTTTTATTTTTTTACGCTTATCTGAGATTTTGGCTGATGTAAAATGTTGGAAAAAAAATCTAGCGTTTCAAATCAATTTGAAAGTAACAGTTTTTAAAGTTTTTTCAAGAGTAACAAGTTTTTGTTCGTGATGGACATTTTGTTATGTTTTTTTCCACCAAAAAACCAAACATGTTTTTTTTTGTCAGCTGATTGGTTATAACTAGATCCATTGAAAATTGACAAAAAACACGCAGTTAAGAAGTTCTATATAAATATATTGTGGTTTGCCTCATGTTGTTAGCTTCACTTAATATTAATTTTATGATTTAGGAAAATGTAAAAAAATCAGTTTTAGTGCTGGTTTATTTCAAAGTTGTACATAATTTTGTCTGTTGAAATAGTTTTTAGATAGGTTGGAAAATCTTTCCTAGCCAAACTGCGCAACAGTTCAAAATTTTACTGACACATGTTTAGCCGTGTGGTTCTCGTATGATTCATCTAGGAAGTCTTCAAATGGAGTTGATTGCAAAATTTCACGTGCAGGAAGTTTGTCAAACACGACATTAGAATAATGTTTTTGTAATTCAAAGCCAAGAACATTTTCGGCATCATCTGGTACATAGTATAACATTAATAGCCTGCAACAGAAAACGTGAGAGTTAATTTCAATATCAAATTAAATATAACTTGTAGAAAAAACTGAGTAAAATAATTACCAATAATATTGCAATATCATAATACAAAAACTACTAAAATCAATTTAGTCAAAAAAATTATTTAAAAAAAAAAGTATTTTTCCACACGTTTTTTGAAGTACCAAATGATATATCTAACATAACGTAAGGTATTATATAGAACAAGACTGCTCGTATCAGGGCGAAGCCCTGAATGTTCTGACTGCCTTTTAAGGTTTATGAAGCAGTAATAACATAAATATCATTAACAAATTAAACGTAAAAAAAATTTAAAATTTTTTTTTTCTAAAATTTGAATTGTTTTCCAGGAAAATCATCCCCCACACACCATATAAACTACAAAAGAAAAAATTTTGCTCCTTGTAACAAATCATATGGCAAATAAGATTCTTTCAACCAATTTGGAACGATTTCTAAGACGGATGAAATCTCCTCTTATGCGTTAATAGCGCGAAATATATCGCGCGTTAATTGTCCCAAATTAGCCAAAACGGTAATCTTTAACCATCATAACTTTACGAAAAATGATCACAGGTGAAATATCGTTTCAAATTTAAGCTCAGGACAACAATACCTTTTGAATGATATAAAAAAAATCCGTCAAAAATGGTTAGTTAAAAAGTCGAAATTTGTCTGAAGAAAAAGAAAAACCCACCC